TAAAGTTGTTTTGTACAATTGGTATGTAAACTAATGGTCTGCTTAGCCATACGGTATAAATCTACATACTCTCTGCAGAACTGTCCTTGTTGAAGGAATTAAAATGAAGGCCAGGATCGCTAGTATAGCTCTGGAGTTCCACCTCGCATTGCTGATGTTGGGTATTTTCTGATACCTGATCAATGGAAAATGTCTCTTTTCCTCAAAAAATTGGAACACTCGAGTGAGAGATAAAACAAAAATTTCATATCATCTCTCCAGCCTGATGTTTCAAGAATTACTTCTGTTCCATTATCAAACTGTATTTTCAGTTGTTCGCACTTTTTCAACAGTTGAGATACAAATGGATATTTAATGTTTAGCGATTGTGTTTAACTTTCGAGTTCTTCATCCATCACCAAACGGAGGATTCTATTTAATACATGGCGTTGACAACTGATAAACTGAGGTTTGTTGATGCGTTTCTCTGCGAACATTCATTGCAATATTACAACAACACCATTTTTTTTTCCAGTGTTAACGCTGGTAGTATCTGCAACAATCATCTGTATTGAATTCCATAGATTAAAATTTATCGAGGTCTTAAGAAATTCCTTGAACAATAGTTAAAGCCCTGCCATCTACCAAGCCAAGGACATCCAATTTGACTTTTCTTCTTTCATTTTTAAGGACAACTACTTGATAATCCATTATGTCGATGTGCGCAACTTTTCAATCATTTCTTCCTTCAGTTTGATTGCATCTTTGATTGTTGAATTGTAAATAGCTGATCGACATGGAGTTGGGATGTCAATGCCCTCACGAGCTAATTGCTTGCATATGTTAGCAGCTTTGTTTGTTGATACTCTTGTGGAGGTCACCGAGTTGACTGGAATTTTGCTTTTATGATGTTTTCTGCTTGGTGTAGGAGTTGTCTTATCTTCTTCATTGTTTTCATATTCACTGTCGTCAGCCTCAGAATCAATAAAACCAGTTTATTTAGATGATGAGTTAGATGACTCATTAGAAAGTCTTTGACTTTAAAAGGGATGGATCGTTTCTTTACTGGCCGCTTGGCCTGTAGAGTATCCCACTGTTCCTTTGCTTTCCACTTGGAGATGGTACAATCACTTGTCCTCGGAAGATAACCATGTTCCATCCACTTTAGGTAATATCAAAAATTTCATCATTTCAGGGTTCATAGCTTCCCCGCTTGACACATTCATCATAACATTTCAGTATTTTATCAAGCTTTGCTCGTTTAACTTGATCAAATACATTAAGAAAATTCAGTTTATTCTTCTACAATTTGGTTACTTCTCTGCTATTCGCTTCTTTCTTCCTTTGATTTTTGGTCCAAGGAAATGGTAGCGTCAATAATTTTCTTTTGGATTCTCCTTTTATGAGAATCTTCAAATTTTACCAGATTATTGGTCCAGACATCCTTGTTCTTCTGAATTCTACTATATATCTTCTGTAATAACTATAAAATTAGATGAGCAGCTATATATAGTCTAAAATGTTCTAGAATATTCCAGAATGTTCTAAATTGTTCTAGAATGTTCCAAAATATTTTAAATTGTTCTAGAATGTTCTAAATTGTTCTAAATTGTTCTAAATTTTTCCAGATCGTTTTAAATTGTTCTAGAATGTTCGAAAGTTCTAAACACTTCTAATCTATACAAGTTTTAAATGATTTGCAGGAAAGCCACACGTATTAGTAGTAGCAGTAACAAGATTAAATAAATGACGAAACGTAACTTGATTTGCGGGGTGAACTTTTTTGATAACCGAGAGGAATTGAACATGTTTCCAATGTTTTCTAATGATTTATGACACGGGAAATTAATTTAAAAAAAAAGTCAAAAAGTCATAACCCTACTCAGTCAAGACACGATATCAATGTGATATCAAAATGATACCAAAACCTTCTCAAGCTATGATATCATATAATGATATCATTATGATATCATAACTTTGAGAAATAAACTTAATTTATAGAAGAATTTCATATAATAGTTACTAAGCACAATAAAATTAAGTTTTTCTCTTTTAATGTCCAAATAATAAGTTTTGATTTATAAACTCATGATATCATTATGATATCAAGAATTTGTCATGCTATGATGTGAAATACAAGTTCCTTAATATTCATACTATTCAGCCTTACAAGAATTGATAATGACTTTTAAGATGGCTGAAAGAAAAAGTATTTAAAAAATGATAAGACCAAGTAAATAAAACTTTAAACTTGTTTTATCGTTAGCTGCAATACAAAAAAAATTAAAAACTAAATTGCATTTAATGTAATAAAATTAACGAGTAAAATATTTGTTTTTGAAGACTTATTTTTAATACGAATATTTTGCAGAATATATTTATAATATGCCACATCGCCTATTCTTATTCAAAAACACTCTATCTGTTCCAGAGTTATTTTAGTACTGTTTTTTTTTTTAGCTATTTTGGTACTTATTTAAAAAATGACATCTGTATTTAAGATAATATAACATTATTAACGATTATAAATAACATTATTTTTGGTAATTGCAAAAAATCACTTGCTTTCATTGACCTATATTTACAATTTATAACTAAATAACATATTTAAAATACTAATATGAACGTGTTAATTAAGTACATATTACTTGTAATAGTAGCAGTAGTTTCCGTTGTGTTAGACAGACCCAGTGTAGGTACGTGTGTAAAAATTTTAAATTGTTTAAATATTAGATTTTTATATATCATTCGAAAGATTTTTTAAAAAATATTCCAAAACTGAAAATTTTATCAAAATTGGATAATTCTACGAAAAGTTATGAGCATTATAGTGACGAAATGTGATTTCAAGGATTCCTTAACAAAACTCTGACCAATTAATAATGGTTTTGTAACTTAAACCGCCTTAACATAGTCCATTCTTTTCTAAATGCATATATCTTGGTATCAAAAGATAGGTATAACATTGGGCTACAGGTTTTATTAGCTTTTAACACCCGTGCATGTTAAGGGGAGCTAGAGGGGTACAAAAGAGCCGCCTCTGCCATCAACAAATGCACATTTCTTTCATTACAGATAGTTTTTTATATAAAATTAGTAATTTTTTTATAAACAAAGTTGTTATTTTTTTATTCTAGTTCCCAAGCATATATTAGTCGTGTATTTTATGAAGTAGGGTAGGTACCATCACCTACCCTACTTCATAAAATACACGCCCTAGTATCAAAATTGTTAGATTCTGATAAATATTTTTATCATTATTAAAATTAGTGAAAATAGTATGAAAATGAAAATAATATTTTATTAAATTACACATATATGAGTGACATAAATAAATTACCGGATGTGGGGCGTCAACCCCCCCCCCTCTCCCCGCTCACCTATAAATAAAATAGTTTAAAAATTAGCCGAATAAAAAGTGGTAAGGTACACTCCTCTTAAATCTTAAAACTTTTTTTTTTTAGTTATTAAGGTGCTCTAAGAAGTCCTAACGGTCTTATCCCAGAGTACCGCCACATGAAGAGTACCGCCACATGAAGAATAGCATTTATTAAGATAACTTTCTGTTTCCAACTTCACCGATAACGTTTATATGCTTCAACCTGAGATCGAACTTGCAAACCTTGGATTACGAGTCCAATTCTCAAACCACTGTGTCACAACTACTAAACCACTGCGCCATGACTACTAAATTTATTGGTGCCTTTAAATGGTGTGAATACTAAAAAAAAAAAGATAATGTATACAAATGCATAATGAATAAGAAACTTATTTTCTGAGATTGTTTATGTGAACTATTAACAACGACATTAAAAAAAAAAAAAATGCATTAATTTATAACTTCTATCTTCTATCTATTTTTTGGTATAGTTAACATTTTATTTTTAATTAGTATTTAGGGGCTTCACAAAGTCCTGAGGGCCTAAATAATGCCTAATAATATTCTCAAGAAAATTGTGGCTATGAAAATAGCCGTTTTATTTTTTTGAAGAGTTTAGCTGACCAATAGAAAGAATTCCAAAGATGCGTATTATCTCATTAAAGCATTAATTTCGTATCATCTGATAACGCCAAATCACCACATATGATATCTGCAGACATTTGATATTTATTCATATCATACTCAATAGCATCCTCGTCCTCACACTCTTTTGGTTTTCAGTAAGAAATGATATATACACTGATATATAATGATATATACATGATATATAATATATACATATATATTTATATATATATATATAAATGATATATACAATGTTCTTTTTTTTGTCCAATAACATCACCAAAAAGAATGTCTTCTATATCTGCAGCCTCGTTATTTTCTAGATCAGGAAACAGTATTTGTATTTGCTGACGTACACAGTTTTTTTAAATCTTTTCTAAAATTTTTTTTTCTTTTTTCTCCTTTTTTTGAAGCTCGGCAGCCATTCGTTTAATCAGTTCTATCTTCAATTCCTCATGTTTTTGTATGTTGCAAATCGCTTTTTTCTAGCAGTGGATATGGCCCATAATATCTATTTGTTTCGAACCTCAATAGGTTTTTCATAGAGGAAATCAGTGGTTTTATTTTTGCATGCACGCAGTTATGCTGATGAAAAATAGAGTGTAGCGTTTGGTGCTTTTTGCTTTGCAGCACTAAACATACCCATGAGTTCTTCTGAGTCAATGTTGTGAAGTCGTGCTGATAATGTCTGGGCTTTAATTTTATCAGTTGTATTCAAGTTAAACAGTCACTGGTATTGCCGGTCAATGATATTAACAACAGAACTCAAACAGCAGGCTATTGCGTCTCTCGTTTTATCAGTCCTTGGAGAAAAGTTAACAATAGAATCAAACACCGGATCATTAATACAACCAACAAAAAAGTCTGTTGTTCGGTTTAATAAAGAAAGAGCATTCTTCTGGCTTTCAACAAGAATGTTGCGAACATTTTTAACCACTTCAACACCAGACAAAAGGTCAACTTAACTTTGTGCAACATAGAAATTGGTCATCCAAGGACCGGTCAATAATTTTCTCATTAAACCTATTGCACACAGCTCGCGTATACCTGAAATGAATATACAAATGCGATTAAAAAAAAACCATATAGAAGATTAAAATCCATTATCTGATTTCCAATATATAAAGTATATATAAATTTTTTACCAGTGTCTGATGTAAAGTCTAGGAGCAAGCTATTTCTCAGTCCTCCACATGAAACCACACCAGAATGCAGGAACGTTTTCAACAGAGCATAGTAATGAATTAAGACTCCACACGTGTGAAAAAGGATGTTTAAAGCAATTCACATTTTAAATCTTCTATTCAAAAACTTATAAAATTATAAAGTTTATAAGTTTTTATACAAATAACTTGGTAAAACATCAACAAAATTACACTGCAATAAAGTAAATATAATAAAAACTGCTTATATACATACATATATACATATATATATATATATATATATATATATATATATATATATATATATATATATATATATATATATATATATATATATATATATATATATATATATATAAATATATATATATAAATATATATATATATATATATATATATATATATATATATATATATATATATATATATATATATATATATATATATATATATATATATATATATATATATGTGTGTGTGTTGATTTTCTTCAAAAAAGTAAAAAAAAGTAAAAATTACTAAAAGGCCCATTTTTATATAAAAAAGTGAAAAAGCCAAGCGAGTATCTCGCATTGCCTCTAGGGCCACCACGCCCCTGCTTGAAATAGCTGTGCGATAAGTTCCCCTATTTTTAATAATGAAATCAAAAAAGATAACCATATAACCTTTATTTATGTTACGAAGGACTGATCTTGGATCAATAACGCAGATGCTTCCCAGCTGAGTTGTGAAGAGTATTAGTAGCAGAATTATTTGATATTTGAAAAGTTGGAATATTTACATGTTGATACAGAAATGTTCTGCTAAGAGTTTCACTAAAGTTATGCTCAATGCCATTTTCATTTTTTAATGTTTGTGATGTAACCATACAATCGATGGTAAATTAAAATCCCCTGTAATTAGTAAGTTTTGTATCCTTTTCTATCAAAATAGTCTTTAGTTTTCTATTAAAAACCAAATCAAAATCGTTTATGTCAACAAAATCGCTTCGTCTGTAGTTGTGTCTACACTACAACTAAATACTTGTTGTTTTGAATATACACTGTAGCCCAAATTTGTTCAATTTTACTTAAATTAAAAACAGCATCGCTTAGCTCTAATGATTTAACAGTTTCAGTAAAATATAAACACACACCACCTTCTTCTATACAGATTATAGCCTTATCTTCTATACAGATTAAAGCCATTTAGATTTACAACCGAGATGCTTTTGAACTATGTTTCACTAACAGCTATTATTTGTGGAATGCAAGTGAGTACTAATACCTTAAATTCATCAAATTTATTTTCTAAAGAGGTTACATTAAAATAAATACATTTCAAAGCATTTAGCCCGTTTAAAGATAGTGGCTGAAATGATTTTGTTGATTTAGTACCGTTGAGATTTAATTTTGACGATCTGATTTCCACCAATGCCATATCAAAAGGGTGAGTCTTCAGCATTGTTTGCTTCATTTCTTTTTTTTCTTAAATTGTAATCAAGTCTCCTTTGTGCTTCAGTTAAATCTTGACTTATGTAAATTGATTTGTAACCTGCTTCTCTCTCAAATTTTTTGCTGCAAGAAGAAGTGAATTTTTTAATGAAACATCACTTAGTTCAACTATTATTGGACCAGGTTTAAAGTATTTACTACTTTCTTTGCTGATTCCAAATCTACTTTGAGCTTAGCTAGTTCTTTACTTTTCTCATTTTTGTTGCGTTCAAGTAGATTGATTTGATCAGCGAAGGTCATGAGAATCTTTGATATATTCCCACACCACTCGTGTAGCTGCTTACTTGATTCACTCTCTCTGCCATCTAGTTTTGGCCAGTTTTTCTCTTGTAAAAATTCTGTAATCATTTTGATAAAGCAAAGGTTTCAAGCAGTTCTTTACACAAGTTTTTTTGATAGGAGGGCTACCACCCTACAACAGTGGATTACCTACGGGTTGTGAAATATCTAATTTTATTAGTTAGCTTATCAACACAAATACTGTAAAGAGTTTAGATGTGTTTTTTTCTGTTTATATATATTATATAAATTATATGTATATATATATATATATATATATATATATATATATATATATATATATATATATATATATATATATATATATATATATAAAAATTAGCAGAAAATCACTTAGCAAAATTTTTTTTTTTTTTTTAAAGTGATTTTTTACTAATTTGTAATTGCTCTGTTCTTATAAAGAACATTGAGCACTCTATTTTGTAGAATACATTTTATAATGTTTATATATATATATATATATATATATATATATATATATATATATATATATATATATATATATATATATATATATATATATATATATATATAGTTTAAGTATTTTGTTTAAGTAGTTAGACCTTAATAATAATATTTTCCCTTTTCCGTAAATTTTTAAAATATTTTCTCTGTAAATGGTGAATATATTGCTTTTCTTTTTTATTTTAAGCCAAATTAAAGCAAATTTAAAAATATTTTTTAAAAATTTTATGCTATAACTTAATCATAGCAGCTGTAGAAATGCCAAATATTTTAATGCTGTTATTTCCTTCATTGCTATTTATAGTAACAAAATTAAATGTTGAATAACTTTTTTGGATATAATGTTTTGATTTCGACTTTTAAATTTTTTGATCCTGATATCATAGGCCTTCAAACCTCATATTCTATTTCTCCGGGTCAACTCAAAGAGCTTATCTTGATTTTTTGAGTTTATCACCTAAGTTATTCTAAACAAATCGTACAAACAAAAATGTCCATAATGATTCAAAATAAATATCACGTCACGATCTCACTGTTTAACTATTTTGTCGAACTGTCCACTTTATTTGCTTGGTTGTTGATTATTTGTTTGTCGAAGCATAACCACTGGATATTATTAATCCCTATAAAATCACTTAATACAATGTTATTCACTAATATAATCAATGTATACAACTATGAATATGGCAGAACTTCCAAATACATTTCCAAAGATTGTAAAGAAAAAACCTAGAGAGCCACACGAATTACCAAACTTTGGTAATTCGTATTTATTAATTAGAATAGAAGAATTATAGAACTTAATAAATAAACACAGCAAATAATCAAATAATTATTCAATTATTTAAAATAAAATACTGATTTAAAATTAAAAATTTTTAAGAACTTAAAAATAGATTAATATATTTTTAGTTAAAAAAATGAGTTTTTTAATATTAAATTGAAAATAATTAAAATTACATTCTTGAGAAAAACCTATAGTAGTATTCGGAACTAATTTATTCCAGAAAAATGGTCCGCGAAAAAACAAAATTTTCCAAAATTAGTTGGAGAAAATGGTTGTCTAATTAAATTATCATTTCTTAAAATATATTTATTTCGATCTCTTTGCATATACAAATTATGAAAAGAAACAGAAGATGAGCGGGTCTTACATTTATACATAAAACAAAGTATATTAAATACATTTAACTCGTATATATTAGGAGCTTTCATTTCATATGAAAGAGGCTTGGCGTGAGCAAAGTAGTCCTTGAAATAAATTAGACGTGCTAAATGCTTCTGTTGACGAAAATGAGGTTTAAGTTTCGTTTTGTTAGTGCTACCCCAAGCAAAGTTTGCATAGTTAATATGGCATTGAATTAACGAGTAATATTATTGAATTAAGGTATCCTTATCAAGAATATTTCTTGTTTTGTATAAAACGCCACTACTCATTAAAATTTTACTGCATAAGTTGGCAATGTGATTTTTCCATGTAAGATTTTCGTCAACATAGACACCTAAAAATCTTGTTACTTAAACTCTTTTTATAGTTATATATAAATATAGTTTAACTACCAGTCGGCCTCAGAACCATAAAACTGAGAATTTTAGAGCTGCAACCTCATTAGGAGATAATAGAATGAGTTGCCTAATCATAAAAACAGTGGCGAAAGCAAAACCCATGCAATGAATCAAGAAGATCCAGCATTCAAGATCCTAACTGGAAATAATGTATATAAATACATCTATGATAGCCTAATAGATATTGAAGGGATGCAATGCTGGTCGACAGATAAGTTCTGTTTACCCCTTAAGACTTTGATAAATGGTCTGATTTTTTCAGATTTATTGTGAAAATGTAATCATCTTTGTAAAGAATAATAATGTTTTGAAACAAATGTTTTCCAATAAAAAAGCGTTTCCACCACACAGTCGACCCTTCTCGTTTATCATCCTGGTAAAAAAAGGGGAGAGTTGGAATTTTTACAGATATTTTTTATTATGAAATGTTCTTGTTTTGATAGCCAGTGTTTGCATATAAAAGTTATCAGAAGAAAGAAAATTATGTCATAAGAAACAAAAAACGACTTAGAATTATTGTTATTAATATAAAATATAGAATAGTGTTATTAATATAAAAATTCTTATAAAATCGGGTAAAATAGACGTAATTATAAATACTAAAACAAGAACCTTTATATGTGCGAATAAGTAGCAGAAATTTTCTTAATCGGAAATCTAATAGCGTCTATTTGTACAAACGCAAATATGCATAAACTCAATATAAATGTGCCCAACAATTTAATAAATTCTGGTAAAACTGCAAACTTACGTAAATTTGCAGATTTTTTCAAAAAGTTTTTACAAAAAATTTTAGTGAAATTTATATTGGATAAATTTTTAAATAAAAGCCTATAAAAGATTTCAGCACAATTTTAGGAAGCTTATTGAACAAAACATTAGCAGTAGGTACGAAGTGTTAAAGAGTAAAATGAATGCTTTTTTTGAGCGTTATATTTCAAACGCATTATTTCTAATTTTTGTTTTAAAAATTCGTCTAAAACGGAGATTGGGACAGAACGGAATATTGCCTCTGTAAATACCTCTCATAAATCGAAATCGACGACCGTCTCGCACAAAGCATCTTGAAACGTAATATTTGACTTCGTTTGTTGGTTTCTAACAAGAAGCAAGGCCAAGGGAAAAATATGAGGAATGCAGTAAATATTTTATAGTTTTAAATCTAGGAATTTAATTACTCGAAATGCCTAGATGTTGGCGCATCTGCGGTATTGGCATTAGAAGAAAAGAAAAATTATTGTTATTAGTTGTTACACTAGGATTTTGCTTTGTTTTTTTTGGAGTTTTCATTCGATTACCTCGTCATGACGATGAAAAAAGTAAGTTCGTCGAAAAATTGTCTGCTTCTATTCAACCTCTTCAAGAAGTATTGTTAGGTATGTAAATGAATAAATAAATAAATGTAATGGCTAGAAAATACTAGCTATTAAATAGATTATTGAATAACTATTTGTTTCTCTATTAACTTTGCCTGTTTTAATATTATAGGATTCAAAGTTACTGCTTTTCTACTTATTATCCCAGTTCTGTCTAGCATAGGGTCACCACAAAATTGGGGTCACCCATGAAGTTCTTACAGAACTTAATACTGTTTAAGATTCCCTTGTTTCCTGAAAATCTCATCATTCTCATCATTTTTCTGTACTATATTTTCTTCGTCATCATTAAATCTTTTTCATTTTTGGATGGTCTTCTTTGTTTTTAAACCTTTTATTATTATTATTATTATATTTTCTTTTTTATACTCGATAAGAGCTAGATAAAATTCTGTTAAGAGTTTTATTTACAAAAGTTTAAATGAATCGCTAACTTGAAAAAGGGGACATGTCCTGCAAAAATTCACATAACATGCAACGTGCAATCGCACGCCTTATATGACCACACATATAGTTCATTGTTTTAACAACTTGATCACAGCTCTTTACAAGTTTTGATAATTAGCGTGTTTAAAAAATGCGCTAAAAAACACATAGCAAATGTAAATGCGATTTTAAATTTAATTTATTCCATAATTACAATTAAACTGCCCCAAAATTTCCTGAGTACTTTAATGCAACTTAATAAAAGGCAATCATTGAAATAAATATTCAGATTAGAATTTTAGGCAAAATGAGTACTGAAGCTATCAAAAAATAATTACAAACCGTTTTATCATGGAAATATAATTTCTAATAAAGAAATTATTTACTAAAAAAAATAATTACAATAATCTTGAAACAATTGCCTCTGTTAACTATTTTTTATCCCAGGGCATGACATTATTTTTTTTTAATGAACGTTAACTTGTGTATCTTTATTTATTGACGAACTTCTAATTTAAGAGATTTATGTCAAATAAATTTCAAATAATTTTTATTCTAGTTAATAAGTTATTAAATATATCAGAGATGCTTGGTTATTCAATTTTTATTTTTCAAAAACTTTTTATTTACACATTTGCAAAGTGCGCGCAAATTAATGATAAATGCACAATAAAAAAACTTTCGAAAGTGTTTTTACTATGCAAACAAACATTATTTCACTTTTTTTTTTTTTTTTTTTTTATTTTAATTTACCTCCTCAAGGCCGAGAAGGCCACTACAGACGAGGAGGCTACTTATTTGTGATTATAACCCTCTCTCAACTCTATAACTCCGAAACACGAACCTTGACGAACAAGGCCGCTGCGCGGAGAAACAAGTTGAGAAAAACAACTTTATGGAAAACAAGAAAATTAAAAAAAAAAGCATGCAAAAATTTATTTATAATGAATTCATTTGTTTTAAACTTTTAATGTAATTGCTAAAAACATAAAAGAAACCATACTTAAACATTATGATTGCTTTCTTCAATAAAAGAAAGGAATAGAAATGTTTAAGCACGGTTTCTTTTGATGTTTTTGCAAAAGCATTTATTTTAAGTAAAATTATTGATGCTTTAGTGAGTGCATGCAAAAACCATGCTAAAACATAATTACTTTCTTCTATAGCGTACTTAGTTATATACTTAAAAGTGACGCTATTGAAAAAAGTAATCATTTTTTGGCATTTTTTTTTAAAAGTCTCTGAAATTAATTGTTTTTCATTTTAAATATGTGTTTTGTATAATAAACAAAAAACTATTGATCGCAAAATTATTTTGAAAGAAAAATGCTGAAGTAATGCGTTTGTTTTGAAAAATCTTAATTAAGCGGTAACATTTGCATAAGCAAAATTAAAGAAATGTGATGCTTGTTTTTTTGTCTGTCTTTTAAGAAATGCACGCACATTTGTCAATTTTTCGTACCCTGTATCCTATTAACTTTTTAATAAAATTTTAAATTTGTACCACAAAATTTTCTTAAATTTCATGGCACTTTTAAACAGCCTAAGTTACTTACGTTTTTAAAAATTAGTTTCTAAAAAAACAATTAAAAAGTCTGACATACATTCCTTTCTGGAAAGGCGTGCGGTTTTTTTGTCTCATGACCACAAAAACGTTTTTCAAGTTAGAACTTGATCACGGCCGTTTGCGCAAGTTGCTGCGTTGCTGAAAAATTGTTTTAAATTTAATAACTACTTAAGAAATTAAAGTAAACTTAAATAGAAAACAATAATAATAGTTTAAATAATTTGTGTGTTGTTTTTATTTTCGTTTTTTCTTAGTGGTTATTATTATCGGCAACAAAATTTATTAAGTTAAAGCAAAAAAAAAAAAAAAAAAAAAAAAAAAAAAACGGTTCTAGGCATTAAAAAGGATGACTTTCCCATATTTTATGTGTTTTTTCTTTTAAAGGGAAAAGAGAAAATATGTATCGTCATCTGTTTGTAAAATATATTTGTATAATTATAATGAAACAAGTTTATATCAAGAGTTAGATTATACGATTAAATAACTTATAAAAATGTTTGTCACGTTTTTATAAGTTATTTAAGTTTTAATATTATTTAAACATCCACTTTATTCTTCTAGATATTTTTCTACTTTAATTAAAATTTGGGAACACTAACGTTGCTTGAACAAAGAATGAATTTTAAAAGTTATAAGTGCGTTATAAAAGTAATAATACTATTATAATGTTATTACTTTTGTAATGCAGTTAGTGACTACAGTGTTATTACTTTTGTAATACAGTTTGTGACAAGAGTGTTATTACTTTTGTAATCATAAGTTTATTGTTTTATTTTTTATTTCTTTGTTAACAAATTTAAGTTGATTCTCCCCTTAAAAATCAAGGGACACGGTTTTGTATAAACTAAAATTTTGAATATTAGATAATCTTCCAAATTTTGCATTTCGTATTCGCTTATTTCAACCCTTGTTGTTACATTAAAATTATACAAATAAATTTTACAAACACATTGCAATTTGTATTTTTGCTATCCTCATAAAAAAAAAATTAAGAAAAGGAAAATCATTCTTTTTATTGTAGACTTCAAACTGTTTTTTTTTGCTTCGCCTTATCTAATTTTGTTGCTGAATGTAACAACCACACTAAAGAAACAAAAATAAAAACAGTACACAAATTATTTAAATTATTAATTTGTTTTTATTTTTTTCTATTTCAATCTCTTTTTGTTTTGTTAGTTTTTTTTTTGTTTTTTGTTTTTGAAACTTTTTCAGCATTATTATAAAACTTGCAAACAGCTGCGTTCAAGTTGCCTAAAATAATATACTGATGAAAAACCGCACGCCTTTCCTGGGGATGCTTGTCATATAAGGCGTGGGATCGCACGCCTCTTACCAGAAGGCCTGGACTAGCTCTCGAAAGAACTCCCAAGATACCATGACATTTTTTAAAATATTAACTATATGAGGACCAAAGGTTAGATGTCAGTCAAGGGCTCCTAACAATTAAACTGTTTTGATTGGATTAATTATACAACCATCTACTACATCCACAACATTTATAAGGGCATACTCCCAACTCGAAATCCATATTGTTCTGGAGGAATTGTCTTATTCACAGCACAAAAAGTAGACAGTTGCCTAGCTATTATCTTTTTAAACATCCTTCCTAATACGAGAAGTATTAAAATAGGTCTATAATTCTTTGGCTTTGATTTTGATCCTTTATTTTTCCAGACTGCTACTATATTTGCTTTTTTCCACAATATTGGAAAATAGTTATCTTCAATGCTTTTGTTAATAATTGCTGTTATGTTTGCGAAATAGCTGCAGTTACTTTTTTTAAAACAAATGCTAGTAGACCATCCTACCCAGTAGCAGTTTTTTCCTTCAGGTTCGCTAGATGTTGATCTACTATTCTGCAATCTATTTTTTTAAGACTGAATAAATCTATAATGTTGCATCCTGGAATTTAGTTTAATAGATATATCGGGAGCTCTCACAGAATCTGCTAAGTAGGAGTTTAGGATATTTAAATCTATGGCGGCCTTTTCTTTTTTTTGGGAAGAAAAACTTTCTTCTCTTATGAATGCCCAAGCATTCCGAATGTCTTTTCGATTGGAGGGGCTTTGTTCGTGTTATTTAACAGCCATCTTGATAATACTTTTTTTTTTTTTCATACTTGTAATTTATTGTTATAGTTGTTAATTAGTTTTTTTTGCCATATTGTTATATTGAGTTGAATCATTTAATTTTTTATCCATCCATTTAGGCTTGTTTTTTTTAAAAGAATACTGTTTCAGTGGAATCACGTTGTCAAATATATTTATTATAGAAGAATGCCATGTGTCTAGATGATGCATTGTGTCTAGAGATGTGTTACCATTAATACTGCTAATAATTACTATTTGGCTTGTCGTCAAGTTTTGCAAAGTAAATTTTATCAAAAGATTGTTTGACAATAGGTTCAATTTTTGTACTAACTGCTACTTTAAGAGTTACTTCCACTGGGAAGTAACTCTTATATTAACTCATATGATCACTGATGGCTAATGATCCCATGCAGTAGCTCGTACACAGCATTTCTACTGGTATAGAAATAGTGTCTAAAAAAGTTGCAGAAGTTGCGGAATTCTTGTTGAGGCAACCAATCTGATTGAGGCATTCACAAGTAATATGGTAGTATGTAGTGACTTTTATAAAATGTAGTATCATGTCAACATTTAAGACACCAACCTTGAGTTTTTGCGTCAAAGTTTAAAAGTGTGTTAAAGCTTAGTTCTTTAGGCTACATCAAACATTTTCTTGCTGTCATTGTTCTCTTTTCAACATTCTTTTATAAAATTAATAATTTAACTTAATTTAAAACTGGTTAGGCAGATAGGTAAATAGATAAAGAAAAACTGCTATTACTTTTTTTTAATTATTATTATTTTAAATAAAGTTAAGGTCTAGCTGGTTTATCAAAAGTAATAGTATTAAATAGTCTTATTTTTAAAGGCCACAGTACTTCTTTACATTGTTTGATACTCTGTGTACAACTTTAGTTTTGTACCGAGCAACATAGATAAAAACAATTAAAAACTAACAAGCTTTATTTAAATTGTTTTTTTGAAAAATAGCAGAGCTTGATGGAGTGGAATAAGCATCTAGAAAATTAAAAATTTGGCAAAGTTTCTAGTATAAAAGATTAAAATAAGTTATTAGCATCAGTTGTTAACTTACCTTGTAACAGTCTCAGCTACCAGAGTGCAAATATTAGTGGTCTTCATATTGGGATTCATCTTTCCACAATATATACATAAAACATGTATAGCTTTAAAACTTGATCTTTATTACAAAACATGAAAAAGGCAGTTCTTTGTATATTTTAGTGCCTATCCTGTTGATCCAATTTATAAATTTATGCTTTATACTGTATAAGTTGTCCAGCAAACACAGGCCAACAAATTTTATTTTTTTACTTACTTTATTTTTTTACTTACTTGACTTTTTTTTTTTTTTTTTTGTATAAATATGTTTTTCTTATAGTATTTCTGATTTCAAATATGCAATCCTTTTTTTTCCATCACGTCAAGTTTTAAAGTTATTAGGATTCAAATCCAAAGTTTTTGGGGCAGGAGTGCGAAGTCCAAAAAGAACTCTTGATTTAAAAGTCACAAAAAAATACTTCTTATTAATATAAATTTTGTTCCGAATGGCTTGTGTATGTGTGTGTGTATATATATATATATATATATATATATATATATATATATATATATATATATATATATATATATATATATATATATATATATATATATATATATACTCATTTATATATATATATATATATATATATATATATATATATATATATATATATATATATATATATATATATACTTATTTATATATATGCTCTTATTTATATATAATATTTCTTATTTATATATAATATTTCTTATTTATATATATTCACTCTTATATATATACAGGCCTCGGTCAGAGTAAATGAGCATGAGAGCAGAGAAAAGCTCTCCTAAAATGAAAATAGAAAGTTGTTGCTGTTCGAGCTGCTCCTCTAAATAGTTTTTTACGAGAGCTTTTGTTTTTTGCATGAGCTGTTTATTTAATAAATTGCTTATATATACAAAATTTGGTTTTATACTTGTAGAAATCATGTTAGTAATGTTAATGTTACAAAAATATATACATAACAAGCGTTATTTATTGATCAGTGAAAAAATTCTTTAGGCGATCATTGTCTTTGTGTTTTCACACTAGCTATTCATTTTTTTTATTAAGACTACTTTTTTGATAGAAAGTTTGACAAAGAGCTGTAAAAGATTTTACTGCTTATAAAAAATGTGTTTTATTTTCTTATTGTAATAGAATTCAGGCATTTTAGGTTTTAAGGCATTTTATTTTTTAGTTTGTAAGGCAATCTAAGGCATTTATTGCAACAATTAAAAATTAAACAATAAAGGGTGGATAATATATTAAAGTAATGTATAAAAAATATAATTTATTACATGACATAACAAATTATTATGCCATAATTTAGAGTCTGATAATTTTATATTTTTCAGTTATCAAAAACAAAATCAAAAACATTTACATTATGATCGTTGCTTAAAAATTTATTGTTATTATTATTTTTTGCAACAATTACAGCCTTTAAAAAACATTTATTATGCAATTAATTTATAATTGCATAATTTTTAAATAATTTTGCGTTTTACATTTTAGAAATGATTTTATGTTTTTAAATGAGTTTTTTATTTTAGTTACAATGATAATTATATATTTGAGTAAAAAATTATACTTTTGTGAGAGCAGTAAATTATTCCCGTAAACCATTTGAGGGAAGTGTGGGCGAGAGCTAAAGCTCTAGATTCCCGTCTAGTCCTGTATATAAATATATGTAAATATATCAAGCTTTTCCGGGAAGCGCGTACGGTTACACACCTTGTATGTCCAAACTTATAGAAATTTTTTTAGGAGCCTATTTAAAACTTTTTTCAAAGTTATAAATACATTTTTTAAACAGAGCGTTATATTCTTACCTCTAGTAATTCTTTTTAACATTAGAAGTTAGGCAATATAAAAGAAACAATTTCAGACATGCATCAGATGGGGGTAAATTCATTTATTAAAGAAACTATGTTATTCTTTTATTCAACTTATTCTGTCATTAACAAAATTTATTAATCAAATAATATTTTTTACAAATAAATAACAATTTATTTTCTTATTTTCCTATTATATAAGTATTGAGAAAAAATATCAAATATAGCAAAAACTTTTTTTTAAAAGCGAAAAGACTTTAAAACGAATAAACGAATTAACATAAGGAAAAAAAATTAACAAAATTTCTTATAGTTCCAGGGTACATAGCAAATTAGTTTCTTAATTATATGGGCTGATAAAAATTGTGAATAAATTGCATATAAAAACTTTCAATTGTTATTAAATCGTTATAAAAGATGTTTTTTTCAACAACTCTAAAAAAAAAAAGAATACAAAAGTTGTATAAAAATTTTACTTTTTTTACTTAACTTTTAAAAAGTTTACTTTTTTTAGTTATTAAATTTTCTAGTTTATTTAATAAAGTTGATATTTTGTTACAGTTTTGTTTCCTTTATAAGGATTGTTTTTTTTTCTAAGTAGATAAGTTTAGCTTTTTGCCGCAAATTATTGAAACGCTTTATAAGTTAAAAGATGCAAGCTACCGTGGTCAGTCTAAAGAAATTAATTTAATTGTGGACAAACAAGGCATGCGACCGCACCCGCTTCCCGGGAAGGTTTGATTTTTTATAAATTTAAATAACTTTTTTAATCAAAATTCTTTCTTAATTATAAGGAAATTTCATTTAAAGTCATTAAAAGTTTTTAATAATTAATTTTTTAATAATTTTTTGATAAAATGAAAAAATATTTTGTTATAAAATTATTATAACAAAACAAACAAACAAAATCTAAATTATCAAAAGTGGCGCTAATATAAAATAAAATTTAATGTGTATTATTTTTTAGCTAACAATTTTTTGTTTTGTTTTTTATTATTTTTTTAAAATTAGGTAATTATTCATGTTATTGTTTGTTATAAGAAATTGCCTAAATAAATATTATTGCAAGATGATAAATAAAATTTTTTTTACTATGTTTATTTTATGATTTTTTTTTTTAATGCGTTTTTAACCAGGCTCGACCAGGAAGGTGTGCGATTTCATGTCTTTATATGACCACACATAGTATTTTGTTTTGATGATTTAACAACAGTTTTTAACAATAGCGCTGAAAAAATTGGTTTTTAATTATGTTGAAAATAAATAGCTTCGACATGTTTATCCTTATTAATGTTTTTATATTAGCAAAACGCTTTTAAATGCATAGATGAGTTTATATTAAATTATATTAGAGATTTTATGGGTGGTTGACTCGAATATAAACGCGCATATAAAAATGAATAACCCCGTAAAACGATCAATTTTTAATTAAATAATTTTCTGGGATTTTCATAGAAAAAAATTTCCGGGATTTTCCAAAAGTCAAATACTCGTCTATGTAAATAAAGTAACTAATGATTTTAATCAAAATATCAATGAAAGTTGTATAAATTTTTATTTATATTATAATTTATATAAGATTTAAAAAAAAAATTATAATAAAAGAAATAAACAATTCAAAGTTATTTTTATTTTATTTTTTGTTACTTTTTTTTACAAATATTTATTTGTTCTTTTATGATATGTTTTTTTTTAATTTCTTCATAGTTAAGTTAAGAATTTTTTCAGCGCGTTTTTAAAATGTATACAACTATTCTAAACATTTTAACAGCTGTGGTCAACTCTTCAAAATCAAATAGTATTTACGTAGTCATATTATGACATGAAAAAGCAGGCCTTCATGGCCAAGCTTGTATAACATATATATCTTTTTTCTTTACATTTTTGATAGAAATGTTAGATTAATAAAAATAAAATGTTTTTTTTTATGTTATTACATTTGTAAATAGCGCAAATATCAAATGTAATTTTTATGGAAACTTTTTTTAAGTAATCCTCATTCAAACTTCATTAGTCTTTTTTATAACGTAAATTCTTTTATCTTAATATTAAAATATGCTTAAATATTAAATTTTTTTTTTTTACATTTTTTTTATGGCAAATATTGTTTTTTCCGCGGATATTTGGCAATATTTTCGCTAAATTTTTTCCGGGATGGAGGGGTATCGCCGTCCATATTTTTTCCTAGAATAGCCCCTGATATATATATATATATATATATATATATATATATATATATATATATATATATATATATATATATTCTCCTAATTGTTTAAAACATATTGTATATTATATTTTACATAAGGCATGAAGTGGGCTACATGCTTATATAGTAGCTATGTTGCGAGACACTAGTTAATGAGACAGCAATGTCGCTGGCTATCATGGTTAGGATAAAATATGATTTGTATTTGAAATTGTATTTTCATTTTGTAGTTATAGGCTAAATTGTCATATTTGTACTTGTACTTTATTTGATTGAAATGTATTTGTTATACTGTTTTTCCCAAAAAAACCGGCAAACTAGGTTTGTTGGTATTTTTTTTGTGTGGAAAAAGCCAGAGGTTTTTTTTTTAATTTTCATTTTTAACACAACTTAAAGATTTATTTTTAAGGGATATTTGTTAAAAGACTTATTTTATATATATGTATATATATATATATATATATATATATATATATATATATATTTTTTTTTTTTTTTTTTTTTTGCTAACTTATCTCGTAGTTGAAAGAAACTTTTATGGTAAAAAAATTAAAATAATGCGGAAGTACATTAAGTTTTATTGTTTTTTAAAAAACTGCAATAATAATGAATAGAAAGTTTTTAATTAATTGTGTTTTTGTTTTTTAAAAACATTTTTTTATAACATGTTTTTATAACAATTTTGATATGATAAGAGCATAAACTAAGTTTATAAGATTTCCAATACATAAATGATTGTTTATTCTTCTTTAGATGCTGATGTTAAAAACATTGCAGAAGAAATTAAAAATGCAAAAGATACAGAAACAAAGCTTACACATGAAAAAAACCATCAGTTAAATGAAGAAGTTCATAAAAAAATAAAAGAAGAAATTGAAAAGGAAAAATTAGCTTTTATTGAGAAGCAGGTAACAATCTTTAGAACTTTGTTTTAGTAATGACTTGTTTTTGTTATTTTAATTACAATTAGATATTCCTAATTTTTTTTTAAATATTTTTTTATTGAATATGTAACTAAAAATCTAGAAACATTTTATTGTAATGCACTTATAGCAATTTAAGTGATTGCAAATTGAAAATTTCGTAAAAATTTCTGGTTTTTAGATTTACAGTTTCTTGATGATCATAAATGTGCCTCTTTTTTTTTGGACCATTAGTAATATTTGTTTGATTTTAAAAGTTCATGTATGTAAATGTTCCTGAAGTTTTGTAATGTTTCTAGATTAATTTTTATTTTAATTAAATTGTTAATTAGTTGATTAATTTTGAATAATGTTTAATTATGTTTATAAATTAAAAAATGTAAATAATAAAATTTTTGCATTAAGATTAATATATTATTTTAAAAATAGTTTGTAATTATAAATATCTGTATGTAACTTTTAATAAATAAAAATTGAAATATTAAAATATACGGTTGCTAAATTCTTCTATTATAAAAAATAACAATTACAACTTACCAAATCATATACACATTAATTTTATTTTTATAACTTTTACAATTAGTTTTTTTTATAATTTTATTTTTATGACTTAATTATATTATATAATTATATATTAAGAATACATTAGAGAATAATGATTATAAAACATAATTTCTCAATGCTGCATCCTTCTCCTATTCTTAAAAGAGATTTAAGGCGATTGCAAGAATTTGTTTGATTTTACTTGATGTTTGTTCTGATTTTACTTTGTTAATGCAGGAAAACATACAAAATTTATAACAAGGGAAGAGTATAACTTTTTAAAACAATCCACTCAATAAAAAATTTATCTGTATCACATCTTCCATTTTTAAGAGATTTTTAAAATGTGAAACCACTTCTTCTATATCTTTATCGCCAAATTTAATCACAGGGTTCATTGGCTAAAAAGAAATTTCTAATAGAAAAATTTACTTGTTAAACTATTCATTACAAGGCTTGAATTAAGTGATAGCGAATTGCAGCATCTGGAAATATTTCTGGTCATTAAATTCTCAGTTTATTAATAGTGAACACTGTTTTAATAAAATGTATTTAATTTATCATATTGCAAAAATTAATAAAAAAACAAAACAATGAATTTACAACAAAATTATGACAGTCAAAACTTACATATTTTTAGTTATTGTTTGTTTAAACACCAGGTGATTTAAAGATTATAAATAAAAGCTATAGGGAAAAAAAAAAAATTGCTAAATGTCCGAAAAATTTGCACTGTAATTTAAAAATCAACCAATAAAAATTATGCTCAAGCTATTTGCGCATAACATCAATCAAGTTAAGCTAAATAAAGACACAATATTGAAAACTTCCAGGCATGATAAAAAACTTTCGTACAGCATATAATTAAAGTATAAAGTTGACTTGTTCAAAGGGTTTGGAAGGGAGAAAATGATAATTAATTTTTTATAAAACTTTCAATGAACAAAGTACTGATATAAAATTTTAGTATTAACCTCACTTACTTTAATGTAAAACACGTTCCTGTTTTGGACTGACAATGAATGAACAGTATAAAGTTGTTACAACTAATTTCTTGAATGGAATGTTTACTAATTTAATCAAGTGCTTTTGAAAAAACAATTTAAATCCAAAGAAATGCGAGTAGAAAATTACAAACGCAATGTGAAATATACAAACGCAATGTGAATAGAAAATTTCTATAAGAACATTGAAACTTCAGAATATTTCTAATATAATAAAAACATAAAGAAAGAATTATTTAATTTTTTGTTTGTGATATTCCACACATCGTTTATAATAAAATAATTATTTATAATAAAAAAAATTTAAATTTGTTTTTGTATTAAGTATAGGTTTTTTATTAAGTATTATTTTTCTTAAATTAAATGATGACAAAAGTTGAGAAGAAAATCACTTATTAAAATTATACTAAATAGTTTTAAAAAGGAATTTTACATTAAATTTCTTGTGTTACAATAATCTCTTCAACTTTTAAAGATTAAAAAAAAAAATGTGAACAAGTAATACAAAAACTGTTAACCATTTCTTAATTAACAGTGCAATGTTAAGAATTGAATATATTAGAACAAAAGCAAAAAATAATTTATTCTTCTAAATTATACAAAGAAAGTCTACAATTTATTCTTCAATACTAAATCAGTAAGAATTTATAAGCACTTGTATTTTTGTTTATTCCTGTTTTTTTTTTTTTACCATCATATCACAATGGGGAACAAAGGAAAAATGACCAAAAATCAAAAAACGCCAATTAATTTGAAATTTTGCAGGTATAGAAAAGAGTATTCTAAATTGAATGAAAGAAAATTTAAATGATTTTTGAAAGAATTGTGACCATTATTTTCAAAGTAGAGTCTGATATGCATTGCTTTAGCAATAAAGTGATGTTCAGTGATTTTTTTCACTTTAAATTATTTATTTCAATATATATATATATATATATATATATATAAATATATATATATATATATATATATATATGTATATATATATATATATATATATATATATATATATATATATATATATATATATATATATATATATATATATATATATATATATACATTTTAGCTTATAAATTTTATAAATCACATATTTTAGCTTATAAATTTTAATTCCAACAAAACTCAGTTATTTACTGCAAACAACTACCACAATACTGTCGACATTCCTATATTAATAAATGGTAACCCTCTTTTTTACATCTTCTTGGAATATCATTTGCTACTAAACTTTCATGTAAACAAAATATACAATCGATTGCTAAATTAGCATCCCTTTATCATTATCGTCATTTTCTTACCCTTGATTCCATTCTCTACCTTTACAAATATCTTTTTGTCCATGTATGGAATGTTGTTGTCATATTTGGGCTAGTTCTTCTTATGATGCCCTTTTTCTTCTAAACAAGCTCTATCTGCTAAGCTTGAGCCTCTTTCCCATTGTCGTAAAGTTGCATCTCTATCTCTTTTCTACAAATTCTATGGTGGCTGTTCAAAAGAGTTATTATTTCTAGTTCCATTAACAAAAATTCATAGCAAACCGTCATAGCAAAATGTAACTTGCGTGGTCATATAAAGACGTGAAATCACACGTCTTCCTGTAAAAGCCTGGTTATATAAAAATATCAAAAAGTTTTGCCTGCTTTGAGCATATTTTTGATACATAGTTTAAAACGCGTTCGCCAGGAATTTAATTCATAAATTTTTTATGTTATTGTAAAAATGTTTTACATTTTAAACAAATCACAAAGAAACAGAGCTATAGAGAAAAATTGTTTTTAACAATTAAATCTTTTTTTTTTTAAATTTTAGGAAATTAAAAAAAATTAAATTAAATATAAAAGTCTTAATTATGCAAACTCTTTTGTTAATTATTCTTAAAACAAAAAAAACAAATACTTCTACACAAACTTTAATCGTGCAAACTTAAAAAAATACTCAACTAAAATAATATAAGTATATTTAATAATTTGAATCGTATCAATAAACGTTCGTAAAAATTTGTTTATTAAATAATAAGTTGCTTAACTTATAAACAAACTCAAAAGTATTTTCATTCTACGTGTAATTACAAAACTCTTTTTTTTTTTCGTTTGTAAGCAATTCAACTTGATAAAATAAAAAAAGGAATAGATATGAGATAATCTTTGTTAAGAACAAATTTAATTTATTTATTGAACTATATTTTTATTTTTATTTATATATCAACTTAATTAAAATATAGTAACATGTTAAAATATTTTAACATGACTTGTGTTATTTATAAACCGTAAGGCAGCTGCCCTTACGGCACCATTGTTTTTGGATAATATTTTATTTTGATGAAGATCACATAACTTACATTTGATTTCAATATCGTAAGTCTTCTCTTTTTCTGTGATCATCACATCAGCAAAGTCACAAGATTTAAAAGTTTTTAAAGTAAATCTTTAGTCCTTTAAAATACAATCCGTATTCGAACTTTAAACAATTTAGAGAGAATAGAAATATACAAGGTTTTTATATACTAGTTTGTCTTGTTTTATAAAGAAAAATACATATTCATTAGTAAAAAATAGGGACTGTCATTAAACTAAAACGTGCCTTAGTGTTTATTTAACGGAATCTGTAATGTGCGCGTGCATAATAAAACCTCCATTATATAAATATATTCGATGTAATAATAGTGTCATCAGCGGATGTTATAGTCTACTCGTGATTTCTTTACCTCATAATATAACTTGATTTATGAAAAAACTTATTGAATCGCACGCAGAAGAAATTTAACAAATTTTTTTCATTCAAAAATTGCGAGTAACAGGTAATTTTTTTTTCTGTGCCGGCCCCCTCCTCCTGCATAACTTCAAGGTAAAGGTATCTATATACCTTTAACTAATAAGAAAAGCAAAGAGTAATAATTAATGAAGTAATTTTTAGAAAAATATAAATAGATTGTTCATTCATTGGCACATTTTTTTTAATATCTCGATAAAATGTCTTGATATTTTTGTTATCGTGATGACAAAAATATTTAGACATTTTTTGAGATTTAAAAAAAAATGTCAATCCTTAATTACAAATTTTTTTGCAAATGTTTTTTATTATAAATTCAGTAAAAACTCTTAACAATTTATATTACAAAAAATATTTATATTCTGTATTAATAAATATGGAATATAGATTTTTTAAAAGTTTTTTACTGAAAACTTTAAAAAATTACTACTTTTTATTAAAAATGTTGCAAAAAATTTGTAGTTAAGGATTGACGAACAATTTTTCATGTTGCTAAATATTTGGATAAAAAGTTTACCGTAAAATTAATTGCTATAAAAAGGTAAGATATTTCGTGATGAAAAGTTACAACAATTATTTTTAACGTAAATTCTTTTTTGTAATAAATATCTTTACATATCGTTTAAAAGTTAATGTGATTTTTTTAAAAATTAATTACTTCTTTAATGTTACCGCTAATTTAAAAGTTAAAAAATGATAAAAAGTAGCTTAACTAAAACAGCTCTACGCGTACGTAAAAATTGCTTAAGGCGTACGTAAATCGCTCTAGGCGTAATGCTTTAAAACAAGGCCTGATATATATATATATATATATATATATATATATATATATATATATATATATATATATATATATATATATATATATATATATCTATATATATATATGTATATATATATATATATATATATATATATATATATATATATATATATATATATATATATATATATATATATATATATATATATATAGATATATAGATATATAGATATATATAGATATATAGATATATATAAAGAGAGAGAGGAGAGAGTTTATATCAAAAACTTCTGGAAAATTAAAGTTATTTAATTTTAATAAACTTCTGGAAAATTACTTTAATTTTCCAGAAGTTTTTTAAAATTAAAAATTTCTCTGTTGCTGCAAAAAAATAAAGTTTTACTTTAATTTTCCAGAAGTTTTTGATATAAACTCTCTCCTCTCTCTCTTTATATATATCTATCTATATATATGGTGTGGAGTAGAAGACTAAGCGTCCCCTTCTCCCCCCCCCCCTTACTTTTCCCAAATTTTCTAAATTAAGTGTAAAATAAAATATAAAAATATAAAAAAAATATTTTCTACAAAAGATAAAAACCTGTGCTGCTATCTATGTTGCAAACAAATAATAGAGAGAAGTTAATGTATAAAATATTTCGTTCAATTTTATTCATATTTATAGATTTTATTTTTGTATATATTTAGATAAAATTGATTTTTATCAGGGTTAGGGTTTTTTGAATTTGATGTATAAATAGTTATAAACACCTCAAATTACTTTTTTATGAACATTAATTTTTATGAATGTCTTATTAAAATAAATGCAAAGCGTTATTTACAATAATTAGGGAAAAAGACATTATAAGGAAAACAAAATTTGCGTAAAACAAGCTCATTTTCTTTGTTGTAATTAAAAAAGTTTTTCAAGTTAATTTTTTTTCTTCTCTAATAGAAATTAAAAAATTTTTTTTTAATGTTTTTGATTTAATTCATTTAGTTTTGAATTTCATTCATATTTATTTCATTTAGTTTCGATTCAATTTCAGTTCATTTAGTTTCATGTTTTAAAGTTAAGTTTATTGGAATTTTATTCATTTTGTTTTTTAACTATATTTTAGAACTTTCATTTAATTTAAGTCTTTCAAAGAATATTTTTTGAAAGAATTTTATTTCCTTTTTTTAAATATATAAATGCGTACACAAACATGTACAATCCCTAAACGTGCAAAGCTACCGTCAAACGCTTACTGTACGCGCCAAACACGTATGTCTGGTCACCTTAATTTAGTTCTTTTGTTAAAGGAATGTAAACCTAAAAAAAAAACTTTTTTTTCATTACAAAATTTTTTTTTCAGAAAAATTGTGGTGTGTGGTGCAACCCCTTGGAATGTATGTAAAAAAAAAAAAAAATTTAGTCTACATAGTTTATTATATCAATTCAAAAACTCCATATAGTGCTGCTTGTTAAAATTTAAAAAAAAGCATGGTTTTGACTCGTCTTAATATATATATATATATATATATATATATATATATATATATATATATATATATATATATATATATATATATATATATATATATATATATATATATATATATATATATATATATATATATATATATATATATATATATATATATGTGTGTGTACACACACACACACACACACACACACACACACACACACACACACACACACACACATTGGAATTGGCTTTTTTATGTTCATTGGCTAAAAGTATGCAATCGCTACATCAATAATAATTTATGTGTAAACTTCACTTGTTTTATAATTATTTTCTTGAGCATATTTTATTAAAATTAACATTAACACATCTCGCTACAGATTTAAAAAAATGATGGCTCTTTTTTTTTTAATTTTATTTTATATTTTTGCATCACTTTAATGTTAAACATCATTGTGGAAACTGTGAAGGAAAGCCTAAACAGATGTTAGTGAAATAAATGTTTTTATATTAGAAAGACATATATTTTTAACAATATCATAAAAACCAAAGTTTAAGTTTCACTTAAATAAAAATACATGAATTAGTGAAAGAAAAATCTATATTATTTAAAGATGCATTATATACATTGCACTTTAAAACATAGTAAAATAATTAAATTTAGTCAACTAACTCCTAATTTATTTTTAATCATTCAAATAATATAACTTAAAACACTTAAAAATGTTGAAAAATACTTTTACCATATGGCTATCATATACAGTATATACGGTTTATGCGATATAAACTCTTAAAACTGTATTTTTCTCATCTTACAAAAAAGATAAAACACGTTTGGCGCTAAATTTATTTTATTAATTATATTTAAATAGATATGTTGAGCATTTTATATATTTTTTTTTATTTTGAGAAAACAAAAAAATAAAGTTTGAAGACTATGCTATGTCCAGTTCCATATATTTATTTTAAGTTTGTAAATTAGTATGATCTATTATATGATAAATTAGCATGAATATTTTTCAAGAGATACATGCTGCATTGTTTGCTTGTGTAATTGTAGATTTTGATTTAGTAACCAAAAAAATGTTCATATATTGCTTTTAATATATTAAAATGCATGACTGTCGTATGAATTTTAAAACTTTTCAATTTTAAACAATAAGTGCAGTCAGGAGAAGTGCAAAGAAGCAAAAGAAACCCCTATGCTTTACATCGCTCACTCCTGATAAGTTTTTGTCCTGATAAGCTTTTCTGTGATGTGCTTAAAAAAAATTAAAAATTAAATTAATTAATTTTGTTAATCCTTATTTTGACAACTTTCTAATCCTGCACCCTTCTTATCTTCCACCCTGAGGCTAGCTTTCTAATCTTCAATTTTTAGGACATTTTGGTATTGGGCGTTTGACTTAGTAAAATGGTTTGATATTTTTAGAAAAATTTAGAACATGTTCAACTTCATCTTGATAACTTCTAGTGGGGAATTCTTCCATTCATTTTATTGGTAGCTCTGCTTGAACCTTCTGGTTAACTAATACCATATCTTAGTCGCTGATAGGATATTATTAAATGTAGCCCTTTATCAGGAAAAATAGTATGATTTCTTTAAATTGTTTCTCATTCTCTGCATTAATGTGTAAAAAATAAATAATTCTTATATTGCCAAGCAAACGAAACACAAAAATGTTGCAAATGTACATAATACATCTTTTGGTAAAATTTAGTCAGAATAAAACACCTCTGCTATTCGCAAGTGAAGCTCTTTTTCTTGACTACTTATGATGAGATGATCTGCAGGGGCGCTTTTTTTTTTTAAAGTATAATATTGAGCTTGTCACATGTTAAGCATGTATCTTTACAAGGATAACCAAAGCCAATGTTAAATTTTTCTAGAAATAATTTCCTGGTAAAAAAAAAGAGTAGAAAATTATATAATATCCAATAAAATTCTTAAATAATTACACATTAAAATACTTTTAGTTTTGATAAATTAAGATCCTCTGGCAAATAAAGCTTTTTATTTTCTTTGAATGACTAATTGATAAATAAATTTTTCAATGCTGAAAATGGATAAAATATCACTGATTGAAACTCCAATTCTAACAGTATTAATATCTCATGTCACTTTTATGTAATAAAATAATGAGTGGTTATAAAGAAAACTTTTTTTTCTTTTTGTCGAAGTCTTTGTTTAACACTCAAAACATCAATCATTGAAGCAACAAAGCTGTTTTGTTGATCTTTATTTTGCATTTTGTTTAAGTACAAGTAAAAACTCCCTCTCTTCTGCTGTTATTTTTTAAAAACTCTCAAAATGTTGAAGGGGTAAATCTCTGATTTACCCCTTCAACATTTTGGACATATATGGTTTACCCCTTATGAACTTTTTTCATGTGGAAAATTAGATATGATCTAAATTTTTTTATATATCTAGGCTATTCCATGGTCTAAATTTTTTTATATATCTAGGCTATTTCATGGACTAAATTTTTTTATCTATCTAGGCTATTCCATGGTCTAAATTTTTTTTATATATCTAGCCATTTCTATGGTGAAAATGCAAAGAAATCGCTGATTTCACTAAAGAACCAGAAAAAAAGACCTGTTTGCTACATCTCATATTGACTGGAATGTGCAGAAATGGCAAACTGTCCTGTTCAGTAATGAATCAAAGTTCAACATCATTGGGAGCGATGGCATTTGCTGTGTACGTCGACCGGCCGAAAAACAGCTCGATTTACGTTACTGCCATAAGACCGCGAAGCATGGTTGAGGCAATCTAATGGTCTGTGGGGGTGTTTTTCTGCTAACGGTCTAAGTCCAATATATCGAATTGATGGAATAATGGACCGTTTCATGTATAAAAATATCCTGAAAGATGTTATGTTACCTCATGCTGAATGGAATATGCCAATAAAATGGATTTTTCAGCAAGTCTCAAAGCAAAGTTTTCCCTATAAATTATAAAATTTTTCTCTATAAATTTCTCACTATTTGGAGTGTCAAGAAAATGTTTACTTATGACTTTGTTTTGAACTAAGAACTGTTACGGTCTCAAAGCAAATATCAACTCCACCAATAAAAAATGTTTTTTATTGTGTTTGATTATTTAACAAAATATATGTGGCTATTTAATAGATTTAACTTTCTGTTTTTTAAATGTACTTAAATTTACTGTTATGAAAGTTTGACTTACAGTTATTGCCAATCATATGTGTTTAGCCATAATTGATTTTAAAAGAATAAAATACCATTGTCCCAAAAGTAGATCATTAATTGTTGACAAGTTGCTATTTTGAGCACTGCAATTAGTATTTAAAATGTTTTAATATTTTCTAGTTTTTTCCTAGAAAGAAAAAGAACGAGAAATTGAAAGAGAAAGAAAACAGCAACTTCTTAGAATCTCAGTTCCTCCTGAACATGGAGTTCTCACTGGTGGTGAACCTGAAGATCCAGACATAAAAAATAAACGTGATACTGTGCGTAAGGTCAGGGAATGTTTTTTTATTACTCCGTTATAATTAGTTATTCCTTAGAATCAAGATAAAATGTTTTGTGTTTCATATGATTTTAATATACTTTATAGGTATAAATGCATATAATTTGGTTATTCTCAGGTTTATTTGTAGAAAATGTTAATTTTATAATAGTTAAAATATGTACTGAATATCTATATGTGATGCTTCACATATTGTCAGGGATAGTGCATATCCATGTAACTAGCATTGAATAATACCGCATATCTGCACATCAGATTTACAGTTTTACATTTTTACACTACATATTTACAGTTTTACATTTTAGTTACATTAGTAAGATTTATACTTTGCTTACTGTTTTATTATATATTTAAAAAAATTCAAAAATATGCATCAAAGGACTAGACCAAGCTTTCAAGCCCTAGTGAAATAAGGAAAAAAAAATTAGAAAGAGAGAAAGGGTAAAAAAATTTAAAATATATTGAACAGATGTTCAGAACAAAACAAAGTCACTATAGTAAAGCGTGTAGTAAAAAAATAATAATGTTAATTTAAATACCACACATGTAATAGAAATGTAATAAAAACAAAACAGGGCACATAAGTAACCATAAATCTACAATAAATACAAAAGTTTAACATACTTGAAACAAATATACATAGGTGTAGATATATCAATATTTAAAATGTAATATAATGATAGGAGGTATAAGATAAAGAAAAAACCTTATTGGTTTTGTGTAATCATAGTTTATGTAATGGTGGTAATAAACTTCTCTTCAGAATCGCGTTTATTATTACTGGCGTTTCAAAAGAGGCTCAGTACCAATACCTAGTTTATCCCGTCAGATAAACATCATCGCCATTTATGCTTTACCTGGCAATTTATGCCTACTCCATACTGCAGTAAAAAAAGGACTTCACTGCAAAAAGCCAAAACCATTACTTCACCCAAATTTGTAAAGCACTAATATTTTTGAAGAAATAATATGGATTAAGAAATAATATTTGAATTCAATACCAAATAATATAACAAATTTAAGATAAAAATTGTATATATATATATATATATATATATATATATATATATATATATATATATATATATATATATATATATATATATACATGGCCTGAAAAAAGCGCCGGACATTGTCGGGCACTTGTCCGGTAAATAACCACATCTATCAGTCATTTTGTCTGACATATTTTATGTGCATTTAATTTCTAATCATTTTAGTTGTTCCAAAATTAATTATAAATTCAGTATTGTATAAAAAATTTATTTTTTAAACTTTTAATTTTTTATACGAAACTAAATTGAAGTTGAACACAAGGCTACGTTAATAAAATAAGTCATTTTTTGAGTTAATTTATTTTTTAAAAGACACCAAAGCATTACATTTTTTTGAATCGAATAGCCCAGTTTTTATCATTCCTATTAAAACATTGCAATTAGTTATTAATTTAAACTTTTAGTTAAGTTTTTTTTTTTTTTTTTTTGTTCGATGGTTTTTATAAATTTCAAACAAATATTTTAGCATTCAAAATCCCTTTTAAATTTGTTTTATAAAAAAATTAACATCATAGTTATTTTAATCCTTAAAGAAACCAGTATTTTTAATTACACTATTAAATTTAAGTTGTTACATAACGTTTTCGTGCAAAAAGTTTTCGCTGTTAAAAGTGTTTATAAAGTTAATCCTGGGAAAAGTTTAAAAACATTTATAAAAAAAATTCATATTTATATAAATGTAAATACCTTTATTATACTTTGATGATTTAAATAAAATGTGTTTATTGTAAACATAAGAATTAATTTGTAACTTTATTTAATAAAGTAATAAGTAATATTTAATAAAGTAATAACTTAATAATTTATGTATTTAATATATATTTACATAGTAATTGATGTATTTAATAATTTTGTATTAGTTGTATTTCTTATTACATATTTAATTATTTATTTAATAATTACATAATTTATGTATTTAATATATTTACGTAATAGTTTATGTATTTAATAATTTACAAAGCATTTCGCTTAATATAAATTTTTAAAAAACATAATATAAATATATTTTCCTTTCTAAATTTTAGTTTTTTGAGCTTAGATTTTTCTATATCTTTCAAGGGACTACCAAGTCCCGAGGCATGTTGTGTTCATATTAAAGAGAATGTTAAAAAAAACGTCTGAGCAAATTTTTATTAATTAAAACTAATTAATAAATGTATACCAAGAAAAACAAATCTTGTTGTTTTAGTCGAAGTTTGTCTTCTCCATTTTCTGCGGTATTTGGAGTAAAATAAATGCGATTTTACAGGTGCATTATACAGACTTGATAATTTATTCAAGTGCGTTTAATTCATAGAAGTTTTAGTACATGTCTAGCAAACTTGATTCTTTAGAAAAAAGTTCGTCATTTCAGGCCCTGTATATATATATATATATATATATATATATATATATATATATATATATATATATATATATATATATATATATATATATATATATATATATACACACACACACACACACACACTAAGTAAAATATAAATAAATTTTTTTTAACAAAAATGACAAAAAATAATAGACTAAAATGTAATTGATGATATAAAATAATAAAAATTATTCTAATAGAAAACCATAAAACACTCCAAAGTGATAAATGCTGTTAGATAAAACTTTATTAAAAATACAACAAGTTGCTAAAATTGGCACTTATTGGTTAAATAAAGCCAATAAGATATAGAAATATATATGAAAATATAAAAACAACAAAAGCATACAAAGTTTAACGCCACCATAGATACCTAGATCGAATGTTGTTAACCAATCAAAAAAGCAGGTTTTAATCAACATATAGCAATAAACAGTAAACAAAACCACTACAACGTCAAATGTCAAAAATTACGTAGGGCGGGAAAAAAAATTTTATGTATAAAAAATGACATAATGTATACCTAAAAACTAACATTTATACATATAACTAACATAAATACACACATATGCATACATACACAGACCTTGTTTTAAAGCGTTGAGCTTCCGGCAATTTACATATGAATTACGTATGCCTAGAGCGATTTATATGAAGCAACTTTTGATATTTTTTTAACTTTTAAATTGCTCTATTAAGCAATAAAATAAAAGAAGTAATTAATTTTATAATAAACCACTTTGATGATTATGAAAAAAAAGTTTGAATGACAATTATAAGCGCTATTTACTAATGAAAAAACTTAAGCATTATTAAAGCTTTTTTATCAAGATATATAGTATACTATTTTGATAAATAATCATAAATTTGATAAAAAATAATTAATGAAATTAATTTTTTTGTTAATAGTAACAAAAAACAAGTTTATTCAATATTTGCTTTGTATAAGAATTTAGTAAATGAAACTTAAAAGAAAACTATAAAAGAAATATTTATTATGAAATGTTGCGATAAACTTTTTTATTTATCATATTGTAATCACAAGTATATTTATTTATACAAGTTTTTATAGCAATAAAAAAAATTTCCTTAAACTTCTATTGAACAGTAAAAAGCAAGTGATTAAAGTGATCAAATTGTTTTGCTTGAAAAGCGCAAATTGCAAAAATGCAAACAAGCTTTAAGCAAACCAATACAAAATATATTATAAAAATAAGGTCTTGCAATGTAATACTTTATATAAAACATTTATTTATTCAAAATTTATTTATTTTTAACAGCAGCTTTACATCATAGATGAGTTTTTTCCGGGAATTCCGGAAATTCACTTTTAATTTTCCAGAAATTTCCAGATGTTTTTTGTTATTAATTTGAAAAAAAAAATTAAATATTTTTACATAAAATTTTAAATACTACAACTTTTACATTTAAACAAATGTTTTCTATAATTAAAATTTTTACGAGATCAATTTTCGTAACCTTTTTTTTTTTTCTTTTTTGCTTTTTGATTCATTCAAATTAACTTTTTCGAATATTAGAAATTCCTTTTTGTAAAAAGTTAAATATTCTAAATACCGTTTTAAAAGTTTACGAACGTTTTTGTTGCTTGTTGCAGGGTTATTCATTCTTATATGCGCGCCTATTCAATTTTATATGCGTATTTATTCATTTTTATATGCATTTTAAAAAAGCAATTAGAACAAAAAAAAAAATCATTTAAGCATTTTGTTTTGAAAAACTAATTTACTTTTTTCAAAACAAATTATTCTTATTTCCTGGTAAACAAGGTTAAAAATACTTAAAACGAAGACTTTTTACATTCCATGATGGTTTATTTAATTTAGTATCAGGTCTTTGTTTAATTTTATTACATTATTAAATTTCTTGATTGATTAAATTATTATTCATCTAATTATTCATTTATATAGATTTAAATTTAATTATTTATAATTATTATTAATATATCTATATAAGAATTTATAAGCCTATTTATTCTTTATATTAAATTGTATTAGAGATTTTATTATTGGTTGATTCGCATATAAATGCGCATATCAGAATGAATAAACACACATTAAAGAATGAATAAATGCGCATATAAGAATGAATAAACACGCATATAAAAATCAATAGACGCGCATATAAAAATGAATAACCCTGTAAAACGATCAATTTTTAATAAAATAATTTTCCCGGATTTTCATAGAAAAAAATTTCCGGGATTTTTAAAAAGTCAAATACTCATCTATGTTACATAATTAGAAAGTTTAAGCAAGTTTAGAAAGTTTAAGCAAGCAAGTGTTATGTCGAGGCAGTGGTAGGAATACAAAAGAATTTTTCGTAAATAATTAATAAGTCTTAAGGAAACTGCCTTTCTAATGCATCTTGTTTAAAATGTACTCTAGAAATTTCTTACCACTGCTTAAAATGTACATTACATTAATAAATAATGTTTAAAGCTGATACTTTTGTTTTTAATGATTTGCTTTAATATTTTTGAGGTTAACGTCTCTCTTACTCTCAATGTCATCTTTAAATTTAAAGTAAAATTTGATTCAGATATTA